TTTTTTTTTTTTTTTTTTTTTTTGCCATGTACCACCGCCTTCTTTCTAATTTACTTATCATCGTCGGCGTCACAGTAAAGCGTTATCGTGTTTAACTCGTTATCCGTGAACGGCAAACTCTGCTGGGTCCAGTGCAACGAGGCAACGTCAACATTACCGAGTTGCTTCAGCTTTATCATAATCTTTGCTCAGCAAACACCTCTCGAAGAGATACGAAGATCGCGTCTCTGCTCGATGAAAAGGAAAAGGCGGGCTGAGTTTGGTCGACAAGCAGAGTTTTTCTCTTTTTTCCCCTCCTCCTTTCATTTTTTGAAAGGTGGGTTAGAGAACTAGACACGACGATCTCTGTTTGATCTTCCATCAACGAAAAATTTACACGCGCTTCATGAAAATTAACTCCATCGCTGTATCTATTAAAATGGGTATTCATTTCTTTCTTTTGAGTTTACACTGTGAGTTTTAAAAGATGAAAAAAAAAAAAAAAAACTATTCTTGTGCTTTATATATTGTTTGTTTATCACTAGTATAGGGTTTTACCACAAAGATCACACATTGCATCTACATATATATATATATATATATACCATTGAAGTATATATATTCACAAAGTTGAAGAAAAGTTAAAATAAATTTTTAACCTTTAGAGAGGGAAGGTGATATATCAAATTTGAAAGATAAGGTTATACATAGGCTAAAAATTAACATAAACGAGCAGAATTAACAAATGAATCTTTTGTTTTCTTTTTCCCTCATTAATTAATAACAATCAGGAATCGAAATAAATAGTTACAATCTATTTAGATTATATTAGAAATTTAAAAAAATAAAAGATAGAATAAATTTTCAAATAGTTATTCGTTTATGGAAATTTAATTTTTGAAAATTTTCTTTTTTCAATTTATTTTTAGTTTTTCTCAATTTAACCATTCATTTATAATATGCGTTCTAAATAATAAAATGTTTCACCAAAATATGATATATTATCTCGTTTATTCATTCTTGTACAATATATTTTAGACAATATATTAAATATAATTAAACACATTGGAGTCTTTTATATTTAAACTTCTTATTATTAGCGTATTTTTCAATTTAAATTTCCAAAACTATCTCCAGAGAAACTTGTAAAACATTTTTATGTCAAAAAACATTTTATGCGAAAACACGAGCACAGCTATAAGTGTATTAGGTGGCCGTTTGGAGAGACCGTAATAAAATTGTCATTTTATGGACTCAAGGTCATAGGGTACGTAGACATATTCTCTTACTAAGAGAAGCGAGTCTGGAATCGCGATATATTATTTAAGCGCGAGACGAATTATTTGTTAGATCCTGTCCAACTGCAAAAATGTTACGAGGGCTAGACAAATAAATTTTTCACGACCGATGCAGCGACTGCAGACGAATATAAACCTACGAATTATCGACCGGAGTTCTCCGACTCGTCTATCTTTCCTTCCTGTTTTTTCCTTCCTTCTCACTCCTTCGCTATCCCCACTCTTTCAACTATTACATCGAACAACTTTCGACGCATGCTGCGTTCGTAAATCGATCAATTAAGGATATTTATGGCGTATAGTTTACAGATTTAGAGTTTATGTCCTTATGGTTATTAATTATCTATACGACCTTTACGTAACACTTGTTTCTTGTTTAAACATCGTAAATGAGAATGAGCGAGTATAAATATGTATTTAATGGGAGTTTAAAAGATCTTGTTAAGACAGGATATAGAAGATAGATAGTGATTCACTTTTATGGTATATGTATATACGTATACTATATGTATATTATGATTTCTAAACTAGGAAGGTTTACAATCTCATATTTGAGATTTTTAAGATACCTTATTAAAAAAAAAAAAAAAATTAATCTATGAATTAGCTCCCTTTTAGAATTTGGAACATATTATTAATTTTTTAAGCAATTTTATCTATATTCAATTATATATAAATATATAATATTCAATTTTGTGTATGTGTATGTACATTTGTGATAGTATCATCACTTCTAAACAAGATTCAAACAATTTCTTATGAATAACTTGAAAACTAATGTGTAAAGAAGAAAGTTGCTTAAAATGATGTTATTAACAATATATTTCAAGTTCAGTAAAAGAAGAGTATGAGAAAGTTTTAGTTAATTTAATAATGCTTATTAAAATTTCTATAATCCAGATTATCTGACTACTATTGCTTTATACTATTATTTCATTACATCTATTTTCCTCATTTAAGAAAAGAGATAATTCTTGAAAATTATTTTACTACTCCACTAAGAATATCAATTTTATAATTTAAATATAACTATAATACCAAATAATACCAAAATACAAAATAAAAATTATAAATCACATTGAAACAAATAATATTCAATTTATATTTCAATCCCAACTGTGTCATTAAAAAATACAAATATACCATATCATTTCAAAAGATGTGACTAAAAGCATGGATGTTTCGAGATATATGCGAGCATATATACTCATCAACGAGAAACGTTGATGAATGGACGCAGTAATGTAAAACGGAATAAGTAATTCTTCAGCACTTACCGCAAGCTTCCCGGGTAAATATCGCGTCCTGCGCAACCTACGACAAAAATAACACCAGTTTTTAGAATATTCGATACATCATCGCGAGGTTAAAGCGGATACGCAGCTTTCAATTAATTTTCTTTTTCTATCGTGCTCTCGATTTATACATCGAAAAATATGCAATTTCAAAATTTTTGATTTTAGAATTTCGATAAAATAGGTTGATTGTAAAAAATTTTTTTTATCAGAATTTAGAATACGTTTTCAATGTATGTATATTGAAAATATTTATAAACAAAATTTTTTAATTTTTCTTCTTGATTTTTTTAAAAAATTAATAAAAGTAGAACGATAGAATTTTTTTTATCCCAATGATTGATTATTCGATATAAATTTAAGACCAGTTACATATCATATAGTATCAAATACAGTGATGTCTAGTCGCACAATTAGAAAAGGATATAAAAAGAGATGCAATGTTTTGAAAATAATTGGCAATTTCAAAAATTGGAAATAATTTTGCGACAGTTAAGCGGAGATAAAAAATACAATATTTAATTGGACATTTATTGTAAAATATTTGTCCAACATCGTTAAATATATCGTAATATTTTTTAATTTTGTTTGATCAAAAACTATCATTAATATAAATTCTAATTTAAATAATTTATTTATATTGTTAATTTTTCTTAAATTTATTTATTTAAATCTTATATTTATTTATTGCAATAAAATGTTGTAATGATTTTTGAAAATGATTTTCTTAATCAACAAAACGTGAATGGAAATTTAAAAATTTAAAAAAAGATTAAACAAAATATTATTATATATATTAAAACTACGTATCTGATAATATTTCGAGAATTCTACCCGTTTTTTAAATGCTCGAATTTAAAAACGCCTCATTTTAGTTTGCAAATTCGAATTTATATCATGAATAATACAATTAAAAGAGAAAAAATGGCGCCAAAATTAGAAGATAAATTAAATACTATTGAACATTCAAAAAATAATAATCTTCCAATATTAAATATAATACAATGAAACTAAAAAAACGAAGAGAAAAAATTATTCTTTTCTTAAATAATCAACTTATAAATAACTTATAATAAATAATAAATATCATGTAAATAAATATTAATATATAATATTAAGATAATGTAAAGAAATCTAAATGAAAAAAATATTATGGAAAATCAGATGTAAGAATATATAGGATATATTCTAAAAATATGATAACATGAGATAATTTTCAAACGATATTTTTTCTTTCCAAAAAACTTTCCTTACGACTTTGTTAACAAATTATTAACAAAAAAAACATTAACCAATCACAAAGACCGAGCATCACAAATATACCAAAGAAAATGTATTGAATATTACAGTTCAATCATTGTTCGTCACATGATTCGATATAATTTTCAATCGATCGATAAAAAATATTTGTTATATAATTACTTTGTACACGAATCGAATAAAATTGCACGTTCTATAACGAATTCTTACAAAAAAAAATCTTCAATTTCACATAAAAACATAATTCTGGAACGATTAATGTTTATATGTTATGTTTTCGAAAATGATAATAAGGCGAATAAAACGTGATCACAATTTATTCTCGATGTATTTAAAACGCGGAAATTGGACGAATTTTACGCGAGATTACGTAACAACACGTAATTTTACGTATAAACGTGTTTCCACGTTTAATCCACAAGGAAGTGTACATGTGCATATCGAGTACAACAACGTACAGTATCTTGTGAGAAATGGTGTCGCAGAATCGGATTTCCTGTTCACCTCGCTACAATATTCTTGGAAATATTGTAGAAGGACGATTGATCCGTTTTTATCACACTGATTAACGTTTCGTCAATTGGGAATCGATAGAATGTCGAGATTTCTACGTTGAAAAAAAAAATAAGGAAAAAAAGTAGAAGTCGATAAATTTTTTTCTGTCTCGATTTTCTAACTCTCGAATGTCTTACTTTATCGACATTGAGTCAAATAAGGATATATAATTGTAATATCACTTCTGGAAATCAATTTTATATATTTCAAAAAATATGTAAAAAAATGTTTTGAATAAAAATTGTAAATGATACTAATTTTATGATTCATTTGATTTTAATTTGTGATTTTGATATACCTTTATGAAGATTGTGTTTAAAAATTTTAATATTAAATTTTTTAAATAAATTAAAAAGAAATATAATTAATATATTGTATGTACAACTATTATTTCATTTGCATTTTAAAGATATTTAATTCAAGGCAATATTATAATATAAAATATTTTACTTGCAAAATAAATACCTGCTGAAAGTTCTTTTTTATATATATTCACATTCTAATGACAAAATGTTTTTAAAATATTATCTATAAGTATAATTTACAATTTAAATTGTCTAAAACGCTTCAAAAAAAAAAAAAAAAAAAAAAAAAAAAAAAGATTTCTCAAGGTCAAACAAAAATATCACAATAATCTAACTTGATTATAATTTTTACTTAAATAACATTTTTCAATATCCATATACATTTTGAGATAAAGTTTCCATATATATTCAGATATACTCTGTATATCGTTGCCCATTTGCATGAAAGATCAGCTGGAATGCAAAGGTTATTCGGTCTCTTAAAGGTATAGCAGTAAGTCGGAGCTTAAAAACTAAGCACAGCTGGATTAACCTTTTCTGAAAGCAGGTCATGACACGCCTCGAAGCGCAATTTCAACGTTAATAATGTTTCAAATTTTAGACCGCATCCGCTAAGAATCGGGGTTTAAAGAAACCGATAGATTATCAACGAAGAAATAATACGAACGAATTTATTTTTCTCTTTATCTTTAATTTTATATTAAGAACATAAATTCAATGAAACCACGTTTTATAATGAGATTGAAGTCATAAAATATTTATACAGGATTTAATTTATATTTTAATATTGTATTTAAAATATTTTTTTTTTATGGTTATATTATACAGAATAATGCACCTATTTCTCTTCTATAAGTAAACGATTTTAGCGAAAGATGTTTTAGATAAAAATTTATTGGTTTAAAGGATAATAATTTATATATATATATATTTGATGTAATTACTTTTTTTGTAATTAAATGGATGAAGGATATATGAAAATATATCGTTTGTTTTCTTCTAATCTTCTTGGTTGAATGGTACAGAATTCGTAGAACGTTTGAAATATAAACTTTTATTATCGTATACACTGTGTATGTATATGTACTCTGGAAATGAAGCACGCTTAGGAAATGAAAAGATGAAAAAAATTTTCTGGGAATTTTCGCACTCTAGCGGCGAGTTATTAAAGTTTGATCAACGCATTGTCAGTAAACCCCCCAGAGGATAGATGAAATACGCGTACTCGACCTTCTTCTTCTCGGAGAATGGTTCTGTTGTGCTATTTCTACTTCGCGTATCGTACGCGATTCTATCGTATCCTGCACGCTGAAATCTGATCGAACTTTTCAAAAGACGGGAAAATCTATTTTACCATCCAATTCTCCCTCGTAATTGCAGATATCCTCTACTTTAAGATTGGACATCGAGATAAATGTTTAGTCAATTCGAAATTTTCGATACTTTTTGTTTATTGTAAAAATTTTCGAGATTTTCGAAAATTTTAAATAAACAAGATAAAAATAATTGATATAAAAATTAAATTTTTTACATGATAACTATTATTATTAGATTTTAAGTTTGAAAATTTTCATGAAAATGAAAATTTGTTAAAATTTTAATTTTTAACAAAAAAAATATTCTTAAAAAAAGAATAAAAGAAAATAAAATTTTATTTTAATTTTGAGAGTTATAAAATTTCGAATTTTGCAAACATAAAAATTAGATTTCAACCTATTTCTAGTATAAATTTAATAAAAATTAATACAACAAAAAAAAGAAAAAAAAATGAATTATAATCTAACGCAAAATGATCATTAACAAAATTGCCCATAAAGATCGTCATCGATCGATGATTGACTTATTATAGCGTGAAGGTTGTAACAAATGACATAATTATCACAAATACCGATCAATGTGCGTTATACGTAATTTGAACATTGGAAATAATATCGTAAGATATTACGCGGGTAGTTGTACATTATGCGACAGCAGTTCAACTTCAAATCAATATATCCGTTTTTTATTTCAATTTGTTACTATTTACGTTAGAAATGCAACTAACATGTTACATATAAGTGTTTTATGTCATTCTTCTTTGTTACTTTTTCTGAAAATGAGAAATGTTATATTATTCTTATTTTTATTAAAATTCTTTTTTATATGTATTATATTACTATATTATTCAAATTCAAAAAAGTTAGCTATATATATATCTGGATAAATATCCAGATTGCAGACATTAAAAATGAATACTTCTGCATTTTAAAATCTTCAATTTTTTTTTTGAAGAAAATAAAATTTAACAAATGCACTATTATAAGTGATATTTATAATTATATTGCAAAAGAAATATATTTAATTTATCATAAAGTTGTAGTGCATCTTATCTTAAATGAAAGTGGATAAGAATCGTTTTGTTATGATCTATTCAATTATTATTGAATTATTTCAGATTTTTTTCTTACTTTTTTCATTTACTTTTCTTACATTTCTTTAAAAGATTTTAATAGTAGTTTTGAAAGAAATCATTTGAGAAATTTCTTTATTTTTAAATATCAAGTGAAGAGAATCATGTAAAAAGAAAACGACATAACCTAACAATTACGCAGTTAAACGCACGATCGAGGTTCAAAGAGGATTATGATGTAATATCGAATTACGTGATGGAAAAATATTTTTTTTATTGAAATAGCGTAATTTATCTAAGATATTTCAAGCGACACAGTTGTTTCAGAGATTCACAACGAGGGAACAAACTCGGTTAATATAAATCAAACGGCAAGGAAACAGTGCACGATTCAATCAATTCGTTGCACGCGCTCTTGCTCTTGCACTGGTCTCTGTCGTATTCCCATTCCCATTAATTCGCGCGGGATTTCTTACCGACCGAGATAATCATCTTAATCGTGCTCGTTTT